CCCCAAAGGGGAAAAATCCCATATCTAGCACTGCAAAAAGTGCCTCTTTAATAGCAGGCAGGAATTTTAATTAAGAAAGAAGTAAACAAGCAGCAGAGGGGCAGATCCCTCTGAACAGCAACATTTGGAATACTTAGCGTAGGATAATTCCAATGAGGAGCCACTCTAACCACATCACTTAGCAGAGAGGTGTTCTAAAAAAACGCTAGATTTTACCTTAAAGAAAGGTCAAAACGTGCAACTATCTACGTTGATATTTGCAGCTTCCAGAATAAACACTGGAGTAACCAGATTTAATACATATTTTGGCTAAAAAATACCATGCAAACTGATATCCAACGGCTACACGTAGCCAGCAAGAATAAATATGCACAATATAGGGGGGGTTTAACACGTACTCAAGAATAAAGGTCAGGAAAATCCACGAAACGGTTAAAATTCAAACCCACAATCAGAAAGCACTAAAAAAAAGGGAAAAGCATCGGATCTGGCAGCGCTAATTTCCTTTTTCTTTACATCACTCAACATCTCTGCTCATTTGAGTCCCAATCAACAAGCACTTCACAGTGCTGCAATCAGAGGCCAGCCAAACGCTTCCCTAAGGATGTTTCCAGCTTTCCCATTCCTTAGAAGAAGGGAAATATAAGGAAAAAGGCCGCGCGTCCTCCAGCCCCTGTTTAACAGCGAGAAGAAACACGCGGCCGCACTTTAAACCCTATTTTGATTAAAACATAAACAGAATCACCCGGCGGTTCTCACTACAAGATGCCTTTGTGCAGGGGAGAGGGGAAACATCCCCCTCGACCGGCTCCTTTTGCTGCATCCGAGAGCGCTCGGCACCGAGCGGATTCGTTCCGAGGGAATCCGGGATGCGAGGAACAACCTGGAGCTGCTCAGGAGCAAGAAAAGCAGCAGGAACCCCCTGCACGGCGCAAACCCCCCTCGGGCTGGGGGATATTGGTTTCATTTCGCTATTTCCAGGCGGCTTTTCCAAGTCCTCCGTGTTTTCGGCCAAGGATCCAAGCGGCTCCCCGGGGTTCTCGAGCCCCGGCGCGACGACGACGGGTTTAAAGCCCGGAAAACCACGACGGCAACAACAGAATCTTCAAGTAAATATTAAAGAAATAAAGGGCAGAGATACCTTTTTGTGGAAACGGACACAACGCCCGAGCTGTTCTGCAGAGCAGGGGGTGAGCGCGGTCTTAAATTCCCCAGTGCTCCCTGTTTTCCCGCTCTGGATGCCACATCCCCAATGGCCCCAAATCCGCGGCGTTTTAAACCCCGGATTCCAGCACAAAGGGGAGCAGCAGAGCGAGGCCTCTGGCGACCGCGGAGTTGCCCGAGGACTCGCGTTTATTCCCCGCACCGGGTTTTCCACGGATGCTCCGCGAGACCGGAGCGTCGCCCCGGCGCCCCAACGCGCGCCAGCCTCGAGGCTGCAAAAACCAAGCGGGAACCTGTAGTCTCGAGCCAAAAAACTCCGTTTTCCTTCCAGGAAAGGGGAGGCTTCGCTCGGAGCTGCTCTGGTGACCTCCCTCGCGGGTTCCGTGGTCCCAACAAGCTCCTTGGGGCTCCACCTTGGCTGTCCCTTCGTGCCCGCAGTGCCCACGCGTCCTTGTCGCTTCCCACCCGGACAAGCGCCGCTTGTCCCCGCGCACCCCCTGCCCATCCCCTCCTTGGTTGTCCCTTCGGCTGCCACCGTGCCCTTGCTCTCCTGTCCCCGGCAAGCGCTCCCTGTAAATCCCGCATGGAAAGGGCTTCTCTCGCGCCCGTTCCTAAAGGCGCCGTCGCTCCTGCATCCGTCCACGTTGGTCCCCCATGAGTGGCTGAAACCCCCCGCGCTGCCCCCTGCCCCGTTCCCTGCTCCCCATGTCTCCCTGCCCGTCCTGGGGGCACCTCTCACCCCCCATCTACACCCTAT